CAGCAGCCAATTGCGCACAGCAATGTCCCACAAACAGTCGTAGATTGAAAATGACCAATTTATTATTGTTTTTTGTTTTGGAGGGATTATAATTAGGCTCTGTGTGGAGTAAGGAAACTTGCCCAAGGTTTCGCCCTCTGCCTGGAATTGAACTCAGGTCTCTCGCTTGCAAAGCGAGTGCTCTAACCACTGAGCTACAGGACTCCACACCACTGAGCTACAGGACTCCACAGCCACTCAGTGGACAAGATCCTATCCTTGCAAATGAATAGATTATGATTAAGAATTATATATATATGGGATGATCTTTTATATCAGATGTTTCTCCTGGCAAACTCTCAGTTCTTCTATGACTTATTTCAAGTCACATTTTTTTCTCAAATAATCTTTTGCTTTTTTTCTCTTTCAGGATCCTGGACAGCTTGACACTGTGCTGGTAATACTCAAGGTGGGTTTTCTGGAAGGATGAGATCAAATGGGCTAAAGAGCATTCTTCATCTGAACCAATTTTGTCATCTAATCTTCTCTTCATTTAAGCAAGTAACGTGTGCAGAGGGAATAATTGGAATGGAACCATGTGATCTATTGAACGACAATATACTTGTAATGGCTTTATCTTAGGAAATGTTAACCTATATATTTGGTGTGTTTAAGGGTAAAATGACCAAGTGCACAATTGCCATTTGACATGAACCACTTTTCTTAAAATGACACAACTGCATTTTTACAGCGATAACATGGAGAAGTTTAATAGAGAAAGAAACCTAATTAAGTCAAGGAGTGAGATATTGCACACCCACCTAAACATGAAGTTATCTATCTTGTGATCACCGAGTCTCATTCAAATTCTGGAGGCTGGTGTATTCAACCATATTTTTTTCTTTACTGAGGTTTACAGTTCACCACATTGGAGTGACAACACAAACCGTTTTAATCGTGGAGCCTTTTCTCTAAGTTAACCAGCCCCTTTCTTTAATAGTGTGGACGATACACAACCTACTTTATGAATTTTCAGAATGATTTATAGCATCCACAGCACGGCTGTATAAATAAATAAAACCAATTTACCCGATTCATGATAATCTAAGTTAGAACGTTCAATTTGTTTTCTTCATCCTAGGTCAAATGACCCTAATCAGAAAAGTAATACAGCGATGTAAGATGATTTACATCGCCATTTTGAAATCCCAGCATCCAAATGTTTCTTTGTTATCTACAATACAGGGTCAGATGGCCCTGATTTCAAAAACTGGCCTGCAATAATAAAACAGTGCCCAAAAGCTGCTAACAGTAAATCCCATGTGTTATCAGCTCAAGTGCATAGGCAGTATGTTGCCATCTATCAATGTTACGAAACGTAAATTTTATAAGAATCACAATTCATGAGTCAAACTTTTTAACAGAATTACTTGAACTGATTCAAACCCGCTAGGTTTTGTATGTTAATCTTCCAATCGGTGTAAAACCTGCTTGTTCTGTTTTCTTTAATAGCAAGTTATTTCCTTCAATTACATGGAAATATTTGCCATTGTTCATCTGGATTTTGTTGGTGTAAGAATTTGAGTCCAATTCTTATTTTATTTAAGCTGCATTTTGGATTTTCTGCACTTTTCCTTTCCTTTCCATAATGTTGTGCTGGACAATTCTAGGATGTGTTATTGGTGAGAGATAAATTCTCTGAGTCTTTGGAAAAAGCCAACACACAAAAGAAGGATCAGCCAAAAATATTCCAATTTTTACCCCTTTATATTTCAGTTCCACATCACTATTTATTTCCCGAAGCCATATATAATATCAAGTGATTGTTACTCACGTGAGTGTGAGAATCCATGATCCTGGAGCTAGTCGTCCCAAAGAATATATCCCTACTTCTGAAAAAAATTATCTAGTGGATTTTTACAGATGGCAAAACCTGCCAATATCACTATGAAGTGGGATTGACATTATTAAGATAGCAATCATCTCCAGGGTGATCTGTCGAACCCAATGAAATTTTTTTTTAATTAAAATGGCCTTGCTGTTTTTGTTCGGTCCTGACAGCTCAAATCAGTGTGGGAAGTTTAAAAAAGCAGGCGGTATATAGGGGGTAAAGCCTGTCTGATTCATTCGCGTATTATACAGACATCCTGACAGTATGATTATTATCTGACATGAGTCTTCATCAAACTGACTTGAGTTCAACAAACAACAAGGCAGCCCAATCAGCTCGGGTCAATAATATTCAATAAGTCAGAAAAACTGAGTGCAGAATAACATCGGTTTCCATTGTACTCTGGGTAACAAGAAGTGTCCGATATGACAAGCTGTTATTTTAGAGTTCCTCCTGACATTTCCCTGTGGAGCACTGCTGACAATAATAATCTTATGTATGAAGACCTCACCTCTAATTACAAATGCAAGCAGATCTTGGACATTCTTGTAAGCAAAACTGTCAAAATCCACCACCTCCTTATCTTCCCTTCCCCACCCTCTGCCCCCCCTCAGATAACTCCACACCCTCTGAATTATTTTTCAATGGACAATCTCTATACTGTATAAGACCTCTCGGAAAGGTTCAATGCATTAAACGAGTGAAATGGAATAACCCCTAATGAGTCAAACAAAATATAAAAACATGATATGTCAATGGCTGGTGAGTGGACAGGATAAAGAGATTTTAGGAATGAGATTGGTAAATGCTTTTGGAACGAGGAGGCAGAGATAGTTCTTGAAATTCAGTGCAGGAATTAAACAATATCCTTTCATGGAAGTATTCTATAATAAGTGCAATAAAATCACTGTACTAACAGCTAAAAAAAAAGGAATTTACAATCAATAGCTTGTTATTTCATTAGAAAACAATATACATTGTCCAACTTCCATTTATTAACCACAAATACAGCATCAGCCTACTATTTCCAACCCTCCTGATGAGTGTTCAGGGATGAATCTTATGCTGCTAAAAGGTAACAACTGTTAACAATTACCTTTAGATTAGGTCACTATAGCATGGTACAAAACTGGAAACAATACGACTGAAATCTGGCCTCATCTGTTAAGATCATTTTGTCTTAAAACTAAAGATCACACAAAATTGTGGAAAATTTTTAATTTCTATTTTAATTTGAATGCCATTTTAACACTGCTCTTAAAAAGAACCAAATTAACACTGCATTTAAGAATTCTCCACAAGGCAAAATCATCTTAACAGGCTAGGACTGGGTGGAATGTCGGGCCAAATATCTCAGAATATTGTTTTAATTGTCCATCTGAATTTTTTTTTAATTGTACATCTGAAACTCCTACCTTTATCTTCTAGTGTCCTGGCCAACATCCCTCCCCCACTTAATAAAGTTGCTCATTCACTTCACAGCTGTTTTGCATATGAAACATACAGTCACTCCACATTAGAGGAAATCCTTTGTCACAATTTGAGATGACCTTCCCACCTGAAAGGGGTATTGTGTCAAATGCAAGGATTATTATAAGAATCATTTTTATGATCAATTTTCTTTTTGTCCCACCAGATTTTATCAACAATGCTCTTTCCTTGAACTTGAAAGTAAAGTATGTACCAGGGTTTTCTTATATATTCTTGGGAAATATGGTAAAATAACAATGCAACATTTCTCCATCTGTACATATCTATACAAATATTTCAGTTTTGATGTATTTCAATGCAGTGTTATTATTGTGCTATAATTCCCCCATAAATGTTTTTACACAACTGCAAAAGTGTTCTAACTTGTTACCCCGGCTATGATATTTTTAATATAAGTTACCTCATTTAGTCGTGATATTCCCTTTCACCATCTAATCAACAATGAAACCCCTTTCATTTTGTAAGCTTCCAGTTTATCCAATCGCTTATCTCCTCTCATTTTCTATATTATATTCCATAGCAGGAACATGAAGCCCCTCTAACCAAGTAAACAAACACTTCCACTGGATCCCAGGTTATTGAGTTGCTGAAGTGTAATACAACCTCTGCATTATGCAATATGAAAGCTGTTCACTGTATTTTACCAATTATGTGACCTTGAGTGTAAAGATAGATAGTACTTTATTTAAATGCAGGTGCAGTAAGGAAGCAGTCATTTTTATTTTGTTTCTGTTACTCACATTGAAACCTAATCAAAGTTATTTCAATTCTTACAGTGAAATTGAAGACCAACATAAGTTCCAGAAGAGGTCAGAGCTATATTAAATATCTAGGGATACAAGCCAGGATTCAGAAAACTCAATGAACTTTGGTTTTCCATCCAGTTTCCAAGAAGATGACATAAATATAGGTGCCACCTTAATGATATGTGAGAGTTATGGTCATGCTTCCAATGGAATATACAACAACATGTCTATAAATAGCACTCATTGATCTCATTTGCTCATTGGCTGACCCTTCACTTCAGGGCAAAGTGAAGCCTTCCAAATGGTTCAACTTTTAATTTAACACCTGGGAATGTATTTATTGCATTGATTTTCTTCACAGACTGTCATTTCACATTTCCCAAACTAATGCAGTATATATATATTATGCAACTACTTGCTATAATTACTTGTTATAATAACGTGCTGTTCTACTTTTCGGGAATTTTTGTTCTGATAAGCTTTTTGCCTTGCCTCCTCCAGTTTCTCCAATGAGAACACTCGAACCTTAAATCCAAAAGGAAGTCAGATCATAACTTACAAGTTTACCAGCAGCAAATCAAATACAGCCATGTAAGGGTTTTCCTCTCACTTTGAAAATCTCAATTGCATGAGGCATTTCACCAGGCAGGTAGCCAGTAAGAAATGACAAACTTCTAAACTGGTACAGGCCAATTTGAATATCATTATGCTTGATTCATGCCTGAGTTCTGGTATAATTTGTCTTGCTGGAGAAACCACTCAGTACATTATAATGCACAACTTTTGGCACGAAAGTCACATTCACAGTGCATCAGGAGGTCACTAGGAAGCAATGATAATGCTCCAGATTAGCCCTTAGAATTTTTTGACATCAGCAGATGTCATCTCCATGTCAGTTTGAGCTGCTGCCAACATCTTAAAGTTCTTATAATGTTCAGCAGTGTTTTAGTTTGGGGCAGTGAACAAGTGAACTACTCAAACATCAGAGGAAAAAAGCTACATGTGAAGCTTTCTTCTAATAATTGTCTAGAAGCTAGAGGTAACCAATTTTTTTTTGTTACCCATCCACATCATCAATGGATAATTTGTTGTAATGTTGTTTTATGGTATCCAAGATGACAGCCTTCAGTTTAGGAAATAATTTAAGACAGTTTGCAGGCTAAGGTTAGTATTTCTGATTCAGAATAAATTGTGAAGTAGTGGCTAGCTTTACCTATTGGAGAAGAGGGATTTCAGAAAACCCAGGGAGAGATTTCAAAGTGTCAGTGACAAAGACCAGTGTTAAACTATTATTTTATTATATATTTTATTAAACCTTTGGAAACCACAGTCATCTATTTTGGGATTCCTGTTCAGGATTTAATTACAAGTCTTAGTTTTGTAAATCGATATGTGATGCTACGCTTCATAACTATGCTAAAGATGTAAAATATTTGTAAATATTATAACCATTTGTGTAGTTTATGTTCAGTACAGCAAACTCAGATGTTGTGTAATTCATTCATAGTCAATTGTCTATGAATAAACAAACCCCTACACTCCAACCCTCTTGATTTCAAGTCCAGCTTGGGTGTAAACCATTAACTGTCCAGCATCTTGGGATGACCTTCCGACGTGAAAGACGCTTTACAAATGTAATTTGTTGTTGTCCTGATTTCTGTCATATTTAAGCTTGGATTGTCAGCTGAGTTTTCACCACTTGGAAATCTTCCAACCTGTGCTTATTTAGCATTATACTAAGCATTATACTAAGATTTATCTTTCTTTGCGTGAGCATTTAGAATAAAATGGACTTTTTTTTAAGATTGAAACGACAACCTTTTATTGAAAATGCAACATTCGATTTATAATATGCAATTGACAGGAAATTAAACACGCGTGCAAAACATTAATACTTTGTAGAATTTGTCCCAGTCTAATACAATATAGAGAATTGAAGGCGTATGGGGACAAGGCAGGGTAGTGGGATTGAATGCAAACCATGCTCTGAGAGCATTTTATTTTTGAATTTGATATGCAGACTTGATGGGTCAAATGGACTCCTTCTGAACTGTACATTTCTATGATTCTGTACAGCTCTACGAGGAATTAGACATTTGTACGTTGGATAACCATAGAATCATAACGTTGTTTTCAACTATCTTTAAGGAATGATTTCATTTGCAACAAAATCTGTGGGTAAGTGTGATTTTCTAACAGATGAATCAGCTTCACTTACAGTTGTATTTAGATTAATATACCGGCATTCTCTCTTTTATTTATCTTAGAGTTTCTTAGCACTTGGGAACCATGAACGTTCCCTGACCTTCTGCTGTATGCATCCAAGAAACAGTCAGTGGTCAAAGACGGCCTGCAGAGTCATGGAATACCGCTCCTTCCAACCATAATAATCATTACCATTTGATGTACAATGTGGTTATTCCTACAGGGTAACTAGTTATTGCGCCTGCTGTTTTTTCCTTGAAAACAGCAATAATCCTTCGCTATATGGCAATAATGCTTCTCAGTTAATATGTATTTATCAAATGTTAATTTTTAAAAAGTGTCTTCAAGCTAAATTTCGATGGTATCCCTATACACCAAATAAGTGGCCTATGTAACTGTGTTCTCAGTCTCTACAATTGTGGCTGGAACTTGCACTTTAATTGGAATTGCATAACAAAATTTGAGTATCAGCCAAATGATCCAGTTTATGGATAAAGTTGTCTATTCAGTTTAAGAATAAAAAGCCCTTTTTCCAAGTTTTTAATCCTAAAATACTCAATCCGTCACTCCTGATGGATATACTGTACTTCTTGGTCAAACAGACAGAGAAAAGCAAACTTGTGCTCAGTATCCATCTGGCAGAACCTCATTTGAAATTGGGAATGTTCATGGAATTGATTAGGTAACAAAAATGTGAGGGTAGTGCCGTAGTCTGGCGATGTTTCAGAGGTGATGGAAGGCGGTGCCAGTTGTGGCGCGGATATGAGGAAGAAAGGACAGCTCAGGGTCGAACAGAACCCCGAGGTTCCTGACTGGCTTTGAGAGTTGGAGAGTGCAGCCTTGGATGCTGATGTTGTCAGCGCCTGAGGTGCGGAGGCACTGACGTGAGCCAATCAGGAGGGCCTCAGTTTTGCGCACATTGAGCTGAAGAAAGTTGTCTCTCGTCCAGAACTCGATGTCGGACAGGCAGCTGTCAGGACATCGGTGGTCGTGGAGTTGAGGGTAGAAGAGGAAAGGTTAACCCCATGTCTGCGGATGATATTACCAAGGAGGAGCATGTAGAGGGTGAAGGTTTCACAGCGTCAAACTGATTTTTAAACGAGTCCAGCTTTAACCCACTTTTCCTGGCAACCTGCTCCAGTCCTTAATTACCCTCAGGATGAAGAAAAATAGAGTATGAAGTTAAATTTATAATAATTGCAAATCAGATTGCAAGTCCTGGGTAGCAAGACATGCATTCCACAAACTGTGCTGCTCAACACAAACCGGGAATTGCAATTAATTTCCAACAAATCCTTTTTGGAAATATCGTAAATTTGACCCTTCTGGAAATTGCTAATCAGCAACAAATGAGTTGAATACCCCCAGCACAAACATCGCTGTGTATATACCAAACCAAAAAGATATTTTCAGAATTTGTTTTTCTCTTTAAAAAAATCAGCTGTCAAACTTGGGATGTTTCATTTTTCATTCACTGTTGATGTATTCTCGTGAGATCTCCCCCTGCCCCAGCTCCCCTCATTTTTGTAATCTGTCGCTCATTTTCTCAAACAAATGTAACTGTTTCCAGTGATTTGACCTTGGCATTGTTTCACAAGGAGAATTTAGTACTACAGTATACCTGCTTTGTAGCAAATTGTAACAAGCCATTGCAGTTTTACACTGTAATAGAAGATACAACAATTGTGTTGATATATATTTTAAAGTATTGTATTACAATATAATGACGTTTCTGTCTGAAGCCTTGTTATACCATTGCACTTTGACCCAAGGCTATTGGTGGTTATAGGAATTCCAACAAGTTTGCAGGTTGCAAATCTACTGATGAAGTTTGAGGTCTACATCTCCTCATCCTCGTTAACCTCTCTGCTGCCTTTGACACCGTCGACCACTCTATCCTCATCCACCGCCTCTCCTTTCACCTCAACCTTCACAGCTCTGTCCTTGACTGGTTCAGAACGTGCCTCTCACACCGCCTCCACTTCATCTCCACAAATGGTTTCTCCTCTAGTCCCCACATCGTCTCGGGTGGCATTCCTCAGGGCTCTGTTCTTGGTCCCCTCCTCTTCAATATCTATATGCTCCCTCTTGATGACATCATCCCCAGACATGGGGTCAACTTTCCACATGGCAGAATGTCTGTCGGACATCAAGTCCTGGATGAGAGCTAATTTTCTTCAGTTGAACGTTAACAAGACCAAAGTCTCCTGATTGGCTCCCGTCAGCGCCACCATGCCTCAGGCGCTGGCAGCATTACGATCCATGGTTGCACACTCCACCTTGCTAAGCCAGTCTGGAACCTTGGTGTCTTGTTTGACCCTCAACTATCCTTTCTACCTCACATCTGTGCCATGATCCTCTCTGCCTTGTCGGCCTCCCCAACTCCTCCCTCCTTAGGTTGCAGATCATCTAGAACTCTTCAGCCAGTGTCCTCTCCCGCACCAGGCTCCGTGACCCTATCACCCCCATCCTCGCCCGACTCCACTGGCTTCCCATCACACAGAGGATCCTGGTCCTCACCTTCAAAGCCCTCCATGGTCTTGCTCCCCCCTACCTCTGCGCCCTCCTATCCCCTACCATCTGCTCTCTCCCTCCGCTCAGTGTACTCCAACCTGCTTAATGTCTCTGGTCTCGCTTGCCCCACTATTGGCAGGTTGGCCATCCGCCACTCTGCTCCCACCCTCTGGAACTCCATCCCGCAGTCCCCCTGTCTTGCCCCCTCCTTTGCCTCCTTCAAGATCCATCTTAGGACCCTCTTCTTCGACTGTGCTTTCGATCTCCCTGCCCTCCACTCTTCCCAATCCCGACCCCCAGCTCAGGTCCGAAACTCTGTCTGTCCAGCGCCTTGGGATGTCCTCCTGATGTGAAAGGTGCTATACAAATGTAATTTTGTTGTTGTTACAGGAAAAATGTTGAAGAATGTCCCTGTCCTGGGTTGAAATTTTTGAAACAACTTAGGACCCTTAATTGGAAAGAGGAATCTTTATTCACATAAACTTTAGGGGGGAGCAAGACCATGGATGGCTTTGATCCCATAAACATAAATGTAATCCAAATTCCTAGAGCAAATACATAATGTTCCAGTACACCATGCTACCCTGTGTATCAGAGCATCAAATATTTAATCAAACTCAGTCATTACAATCAATTACTTAATTGGTAGTCACATTAAACCTTGACATTATAAACTTGTTGCCACAAGCTAATTTGTTTCATTAGGAATTCAATAACAACATTTTATAAGGTTTCCCACATAGTCAAACTATAAAAGGATATGCTCTACTTGTATGTACCGAGATTTGTTGGTAGTTGTATTTGTGGAGTAATTTACTTGTCTCTAGCGATGGTGGTATCTTGAAAATGCTTGAAGTAAAATATTACTTCTTTGTGGTCGGGCAATAATGTGTAAGGCAGATAGATGACATACAAAGGAATCTGATGAATTACTAAGCAACACAACAATAACAACTTGCATTTATATAGCACCCTTCATGTGGGTAGAGCCTCAGAGAGCTTAATGGCGGTGCAGTTTGACCGTGAAAGAGACGGGAGGTGCCTGAAGGCACAGTCAAAGAGGAAAGTCTTCAGATGTGATATGAAGATAGGCAAAGAGGGGGCAAAATGGAAGGATTGAGGCAAGGAGTTCCAGAAATTTTGGTCATTGTGGCAGAAAGTGAGATCACCAATAGTGGAATGGATGCCAACGGACATGCAGAAGAACCCGAGCCAGCTGAGCGAAGGTGGCAGGTAGAGTGGAGTGTAAACAGATCGGAGAGGTAAAGAGGTGTCAGGGCATGAAATGATTTCAAAGTGAGAGGAGAAAAAAAGAGAATGGAACCAGCACATGCACAATGGGTCGAAATAGCTCCTATCATGCTGAAAATGTCTGTGTTTCTATGGTTCTAAAGTCAGGGAATTATGATGCCCACTGATTTAGGTAGTATAGTAGATGATGCACTTACCTGCATAATGAGAGAAACATCCTAATACTTCTTCAAGGTGATCATTTCGGAGATAGAGGAAGCGATTTTGAGAAAACTACCTCAAAATGGAGTTAATTGCAGTGGCAGAAGATGTTAGGAACAGCAAGACACAGCACCATGTGGTCAGTGAAGCAGATTCATTTGCCCCTTGACATTCAGTTCTGGATCACAACCACACTGCTACAGGGGAAGCTGCCAAGGACATCTGTGTGGGTGAAGGGAGGAATGGGAGGGAGATTTGCTGGAGGGCCAATTCTGCACACTGCCCAGCAGCTTGCTCATAAATATAGCTGAAGTGCCCAGGAGCAGCCGGCTTCAAGATGGACAAGAGAGATGAAAATTGGCACATACCTTTTGATGTGTTTCCAGAAGAGGCAAATCTGGATACACGTTTCAGAATTTTTTTTTCAAATTAGTGTTAAAACTCAGTGAGGGTTTGCCACAGAAAACGCATTGCTGTTTTGTTGATAAGGTTACATTCCAGGCCCCTCTGCTGTGTCCCTCGAAGATGTCTTCTGAGGTCATGGAGTGGTCGGTCGGCAACGCAGGGACTATTTATTATGCTCTTTACAGACTAGTTCTTCTGCTTAAATTCAAGGGAAAAAATGTGAAAGCGGTTATCAGGACTAAAATAAATCAAATCCACTGTGGGGAAACGTGAAAGAGATGTATTGTAACTGTGTTTGATGAAGGATTGGCCTGTTCTCAACTTGTGTGACTATGCATGTGATTGATTGTTATAGTTGGCAAGGGTTGCACAAATATCAATCACGTGCTCCACCATTTTGAGAACAGGCTGGTTCTTTTTATAATGTGTTTGAAACACTCTGTCAGGAAGGCTTGCATTTCAAACTCACATTAATCTGCTCTTTGACACCAGTGCCTTTAGCCAATGCTGCAAATATTTAGATACTGGTTACCTATTCTTTTCGTCTCTTTCTCCCCTCTTCATTTTCCTTTGCTGGCTGGCTGGCTGTTTGCGACATTGTATCTGCCTTCAACAGACTAGCTGGGCAATCCATGATTACTGGCAATGCCACCTCATAATTTGTTAGCCATGTGATAAAGCAGAGACAGAAATAGGGCTCAATTGTGATAGTCGTAATCCAGATTCACTGCGTTAATCATGATTTCCAGTTTGCGAGCTTCATGTGAGGTTTGAGGAACACTAAGTCATATACGTTTGCAAAATCTAACTGCAAAAGTCTGTGAGCAAACTTTGACATACCTCAAAGATTTTTGACTTTTGATAAATCTCACAATCCGATATTTAAAAATGTTTTAGACCACTGTTTTTTCTTTCCTTCCTTCCATATAATGTTTCAAATATCAATAAATAATAATACATACTCAATGCACTACTCAACAAGAATGCCTCTATTTTCTGAACTACTGGACTGATGACCCACATATATTTTTATACTTACAACTTGTTCGCCTTGATATTAGAGAAAGGAGGTTAGTTACCTAAGGAATTCTGGCAGTCTGCTATGCGTTTAAAGGACAGCTCAATTTAATTAGAAGGATTTGATGTCTACATCCATTTAATCACAACTATGTACGTGAAATCTCAGAATGTTTGCTGAGATTGTCAAGATTAGATTGATACAGTTTTATCTTTCTCATTCAATATTACAACAAGGTATCACTGTTCTGAAGACAAGGTGCACAAAACAAAATTGCTACCATACATATCTTAAGTGAATCACATATTCTGACCATGGGAAATTTTCCCTGTTAAACCAAGACTCACTGTTAGAACAGTAATTGATCTTGTTAAAAAACAGATTTGCTTTTTAACCTCCTAATAAAAATTAATATTCTATTCTGTTGGATCGAACACTGGTTGTTTTGCACCTTGCCTTCTGCTGTCTGCCTTGCTGAAAATCTGTTAGGTTTGGGGTCTAATTCACTGTAGGTCTTGAAATCCACCCAGTCATAGCCTGTAATACCATACTGTCTTGAAATGTAATATTGTGCAGAATTGTGGATAATTTTAACAGATGATACCTAACTTAACCCACACAACTTTAATAGATTATACATGACATAATCAATGCAATTTTAACAGATTATACACAAGATAATCAACATAATCTTAACCACATTTAATTTCAGGCTTGGAATTTCTGAACAGAATGCCACACAATGTGGTTCCTTTACAGTAACTGGAACAATGTCACCTCGTTCCAAAGTAATTCTGTTCCAACAACAATCTACGATGGGATCCTAAGAACATGAAATGGCATAAAGAAATACGGCAAATCAGTCCCTTGCAGGTTCTTTGTGGTGTCTTTCAGCTGATCTTTAAATGTTGTACGTTGTGTAAATTTGCATTCATCAACATGACTGAGGTCTGTGCTGGTGAATAGAAACCTTTTGTTGCCAAGGTCAGGCACAGAACAGCCAAGTGATGAGCAAAACTCCCTCTACTCCTCCCCGTAATGTCCTTGATCCCCACTGCACCATTATGAATGCTTCCACTTCATAGAACGGCCATTCCGAGGATCTCTTAATCAGATTGCCAATTTGATGCAAATTGATGTCGATTTGTGAGCAATTCTGTGCTGTGATTCATGAACCCTGCGAGCTGGTCTGTGACTGTCCAAACATGTTTCACATTGTACTCCTATTGCCAACGAAGATGGGGGAATCTGATCCCATTAGTCCAGCTCAAATTAAACACTAGCCCCAGAGGTAAATGACAATGAGCTATTTCAGTGTGCATCCAGTCGTTCATTCAAAATATTAGTCATAAAGCTCAGAATACATGATTCTGATTGCACACAGCGTGAGTTATTCCACACTTGCTAATAAATTTGAGGAAAAAAGGGAAGTTGAACCATTTTCTTTACACAGTGGGCAGCTCAAATGAGGAATACCTTAGCAGAGATGGCTGCTGAAATATTCCAGAATTGCATTAATAGTATTAAAACGAGCTTCAGAATGAGACTGGGGCAAATAGTTCAAGTGGAGGAACATACATGATAGGCTGAATGGCTTTCTTTGCTGCAATCACCAGTGATTTCTTTGCAGGTTGGTAAGCTTGGTTTGCCTGTTCCCATAATAAGCCCAAACTGTTGTATTTACTGTAACATGATGTCCTAGCCCCCAAAAAACAAATAAATTGGTCATTCACTTCATGGGTGTTTGCAGGATATTGATGTGCACATATTATTAGCTGCCATGTTCATCCAAAATTGAACATTCACTACATTTTATTGTAAGTCGTATGGAGTGCTGTGAGACGTTTCAATGAGTTTCGTATTAAATGCAAGATTATTCTTATTATACTGAAAAGTAGAGAATAATACGAGCTCACCACCAACGTTCGATAATTTTTGCCAGCAAGATGAGAATAATCTTGATGAATAGCACTGTGAAATGCTACTCTGTGTGAAGGGAACTATATCATTATTATTGTTATTGTTGTTGTAGCTATTATTGCATGCAAAGTACAATCCTAATAGGTTGCTATGAATAAGAAGTGGCAGAATATTGTAGGGTTCTGTACTGACACTTAACATCTGTTCTGCCATCAATGACAAACAGTTTTCACAATTTAAGTATATTTTACTTTCCTGAATCTGAATATTTTCAAACAATCAAAAAATAATTTTAAATAAAATTCTAGCTGATTTGTTTTATTAACATAGCATTTTAGAGTGTCCAAAATTTGGCAAATTCTTAAGTACAGCCTTACTTATGAAAGTGTTTTTCTGTAAATTGCGTTGAAGAACTGTAGAAAACCAGTTTCGAACGTAAGACTGAATTCAATAATTTGCCAAATTCTTGAATCTCTGAAATACTATATTAATAAATTAAGGTGGAATTTTACCCCAGAAATCTCTTTAATTTATAATTGAAATATATGATCATCACTCGGATTAAGGTTATGCTGACAATGACACATATTGCGAAACAATAATATTCCACCGCTATCTTCAGGAATTGATAGCACATTTTCTGTAGAATTGTTGTAAATGGTTAAATGAAATTTTGTTTCATTACCACTTTTATGTCCCATTGTCAGTCCTCTTGCGTCATCAGAGTCTGATCTGCCAGTCCAGACTGCAGACATCTGTATTCTCACTGTTACAGCTGTCCTATGACATTTGGTATAGGGTTTACCAACCTGTGAACAATATTTTATTCATTCATACTTTCCCTGTTCAACTTTGTTTTTAAAACCTTTCTTACGTCAATGTTGTATTCAAAAACAGTAACTCATGTGCTTTTGGTGTAATCTATCAACAATGTTTTCAATGTGGGACACTCCGTGACTTTACAAAATAAATTACCAATAACAATTCTTAGATATCAGTTCATTGGAAAACTTCTGCTGGTGAAGTGTGGTTCACTGACCTTATTGTAGTCGTGCTTTTGTATTCATCAAAACCTTTCAAACTGAGTCATGCTTTTGTTACCTCTGTCAACAACAACAAAAGTACATTTATATAGCGCCTTTCACGTCGGGAGGGCATCCCAAGGCGCTGAACAGACAGAGTTACAGACCCGAGCTGATGGTTGGGGTGGGGGAGGGGGGAGGACAGGGGAGGAGCAGGGAGATCGAAAGAACAGTCGAAGAGGAGGGTCTTGAGGTGGGTCTTGAAGGTGACGAGGGAAGGAGCGAGATGGAGGGACTGCGGGATGGAATTCCAGAGGGTGGGTGCAGATTGGCGGAAGGCCTAACCGCCGATAGTGGGGCGAGCAAGGAGGGGGACGTGAAGTAGGCCAGAGCCCGCTGAGCGGAGAGAGTGAACAGGATGGTAGGGGGTTAGGAGGTCGGAGAAGTAGGAGGGAGCAAGACCATGGAGGGCTTTGAAGGTGAGGATCAGGATTTTGAACTGTATCCTCTGTGTGATGGGAAGCCAGTGGAGTTGGGCGAGGATAGGGGTGATAGGGTCGCGGAGACTAGTGCAAGAGAGGACGCGGGCTGCAGAATTCTGGATCATCTGCAGCCTATGGATGGAGGAGTTGGGGAGGCCAACAAATAGTGAGTTTGCATAGTCGAGCCTCGATGTAATGAATCCGTGTATGAGGGTTTCGGCAGTCTGTGGTGTAAGACAGTGTCGGAGTCGGGCGACGTTGCGGAGGTGGGGGAAGGCAGAGCGGGCCATGGCGCAGATGTGGGGTAGAAAGGATAGTTGAGGGTCGAATGAGACCCCAAGGTTCCGGACTGGCTAAGCAAGGTGGAGCACAACCATGGATGGTGATACTGTCAGTGCCTGAGGTGAGGAGGCGCTGACTGGAGCCAATCAGGAGAGCCTCAGTCTTGTTGACGTTCAACTGAAGAAAGTTAGCTCTCATCCAGGACTTGATGTCCGACAGACATTCAGTCAGGACAGCAGTGATCCTAGAGTCAAGGGTGGAGGCAGAGAGGTAGAGTTGGGTGTCATCCACATACAAGTGAAAGTTGACACCATGTCTGCGGATGATGTCACCAAAGGAGGGCATATAATAATAATAATAACAACAACAACAACAACAACAACAACAACAATAATAATAATAATAATCCTTGCAATTGATGTAGCGCTTTTCATGTCTTCTAGACATCCCAAAGTGCTTCACAGAATATACTGTAAAGTGAATTGACTGTATATTTGTGGGCGAATGCGGCAGCCAATTGCGCACAGCAGTGTCCCACAAACAGTCATGGATTGAAAATGACCGATTTATTATTGTTTTTTTTGAGGGATTATTATTAGGCGTGTGGAATAAGGAAACTTGCCCAAGGTTTCGCCC